GTAGCCAAATCGTACTGGACCCAAGACGTCGAGTATCGACGCAGGATGTTCCAGCAGTACAAAATTAACACCAAAGGACTTGAGGATAGGCGGGGAAGTGTGTTCCCCTCCGCAGTATTCCTCGTCCATCAAGGCAGAGCCCACGAAGAGTTCGAAAAGAGCATCCTAGAGCACAGGTCTCAGGATGCCCCTTGGGTGTGGTCCAGTGCCCCCAAGGCCACGAGTAATGACAGATGGGCCCAGTGGAGACTTACCAATGCGATCAACAATCAGTTCTACAGAATGTACCACAAGTACAACACGGCCACATTCAAGATACGTCGTTAATTTTTTCGTCATGCAAACCACCATCCTGACCCTCCGCATCAGATCAAAGCACATGTCACCCCTGCGATGCAGCCGGATTCTTCCCACGAAGGTGAGCCGGGATCGAAGCCAGGCTGCATCGACCCACAACGAGCATCTCAGCAACGATCCCTTACTATCGCGTATGGAGTCCGGCGTTGGCCGGAGGCCTCCTGATTGGGGCGTACGGTTGGTGTTCGGGGACCACAGCTGTTCAGCCGGATTACGGCCGCTCGACTTTCCTTGATGTATATCGGGATAAGCCCAAAGCTGCCACGCAGTGACTGTTGGTGAATCCGGCGCACTCCGCAGGCCGTATGCCGGCAAGGAGAGAGTGCGGAGATTCCTCAAAGCGCAGTTGGCGGTAGCGTCGAATACGGAGTACCTGGGAATTGATGTTCAGGTTGCCGGACGCCGTGTCGGTCGGTGAGGTGGAAAAGGCAGGGTCGTAGTTGTTTGAAAAAAATGCTGGGCGAGCTTTGAGCACCTGAAAGAAGTAAGGCTTAGCCTCAGCCGGGGCGCGTGACCAGGGCGAGGTCTCCAAAGCACTCGATGAACATCCCCCAGAAAATGCACACCGGGTTTGCGCGCCAGCTCGAAGTGTTCTGGTTCGTCCCAAACATTCGGGCTCGGTGGAAGTATAAAGACTCGGCCGGCACGCCCGTCGCTTTCAGACAAATCGCGCATGCCGCTTGTGCCAAGAGGGGCGGGTCGCACTTTACGTCGTGCGTCGTGCCTTGCGTCGTACGTCTTATCTTACGTCGTACGTTGTTGAGAAGCAGGAGATTCCTTTCTGGACTCTTCCCACTGCGCTTGGTGCCATTCGGCGAGCTCGAGAGCTATGCGTTGGAGCGCCTCTTCGCGCGTGTTGCGTGGGAGCGCCTCCTCGGGCGTGTGGCGTCGGAGCGCCTCCGCGGGTGTCTCCGGCCTGTTCTTCTCAAGAACGAGGACCTTCTCGCCCTTGACGGTGAACGGGAACTCGGCGTTGCCCGTGCAGTCCGTGTGCTGACCCGACTCGACGAACAGCACTTCATCCGCTTTCAGCGTCCGGTAGTACTTCACGCGACGTCTATCGGTGCGAAGAACGTCCCCTGCCTTTAGCTGTACAGTCTCTTCACCACCCTTCTTGTTCTCCGCCTCCTTGTGTTCCGCCACCTTGTTTTCGGGCACACACGATTTTTCCTTCAAAGCTCTCTGCAGCTCCGCAATTGTTAAACGGTGAGTGTCAAGCCGCCATTCCGCTTGTCCGGCCGTCCTAGTCTCTCGCACCGTTAGCTTCATAACATCATCCAAATCAACGACGTACACCACTTCGTCCAGAGGATTCCTCTCGAAGAGAGCTTTGGCCCAAATCGCAATAGTGGCGACCTGTTCAAGAGAAAGCACCGGGGTAGATACAGGATTAGCGATTAAACACCTCATCCACAAGATTTTACGCACCTCAAAATCGGGATTACCCGGGGTGAGGGACGTCGCCGCAGGATCCAATCCAACAGCGCGAGTCGTACGCGGCCGTAGCCTCCAGCGTCTTCGACACACCAGGTCTCATAAAATTGCGCGCTGCCCAGACTTCGCCTCAAACTCACGAACAGTGGACCCAGAAGAGACATACCGATACGGACTATGAGCTCTACGAATATACTAACACGGGCACGATTAGGATACGTCATTCCTTACGTCGTTAACTTTTCCGTTGCCGGGGGACGTGGTCTTTATTCCATGTTGACAAGCACGGTCGAACGACGAAACCGGTCCGAGAAGTACACTACTCCCAGCCCCAGAGAAACGGTTCCTGTGAGGAAGGGCTGATGGGCCGAGGGGCCTTCAATCAACCAACGTATTTGGCGAAATTCTCAAAAAATGCGCACACGAATATTCGGGTTTGTTTCAGACATTCGGGCTCAGCGGAAGTGCAAAGACGCGACCGACACATCCGTCGTTGGCCAAACACCCCCAGACTATTCCCACCGCGCTTGGTGCCATTCGTATCACCAAGTGGCCACCATCTCCGACGCGAGTACCCAGTCGCAGTTGCGTAGATCTTCCTGGTACGCATCCTGCCTGGTACGCCGATGGATTCAATGTAAGCTTGGCAGGTCGGGGTGTTTCTTCTTGGTGTATTCGAAAAGGGTCAAGGACCCTCTTCCATTAATCTTCTCGTTTCCCCTGCTGTCGATTGCAGCACTATCACGAGTCGGTCTCACTCCAGCCGCGCGCGCTTTCCCGGTCGATATGATGTGCTGTCTGGGTAGTCTAGACCACCAGCGCGGCCGCTCCGAATGGATCAGTTTTTGTTCTCTCAAACGAATCTGACACGGGAGATGACGACCTTCTTTTCAACGACAGAAAAACCACCCCCGGTCGTTCCTGCTCGAGCAGGGACCATACCCCCCACCTCAACCAGGACCTCATATCCCAAAAGAGAGAGGCTCGTGTACCTCCCCTTCCACAGAGTATCGACAATCGAGCTACTCCACACGCTACCAAGAAACCATACCACCAATGACGACAACTTGTCGTCGCCGCTGCTATTGCGAGAAGGGGTGCCCCTAAGGGGACATTGCATGCGGTGTCAGGGGAATTTCTAACGGAAGTTAGAATGAGATCCTATTAAGTAGGACAATATATTAATGGTATAGAGCTAAGAATAGGCGGGATAAATCTACACAACGAAATAATCTACACGCCCCGTGAAAGACATAGGATTCTCTGTTACGGTGTGAATTATGAAGAATTCCTGAGCACGTGCGGTTTGCATGAATACGGAGGGAAGTTGGTGGAAGTAAGTTCAACCCTGGTGGCGGAAGGAATTTACTGTCCGCAGCCGGTGGTACAGCAGAGGACGTTGTGGCGGAAGACTTCGTTCTTGTGATTTTTAGCGGTAAGGGCAATGCGATAGCCGTCGGTGCCGATAGGACCGGGATTAGTGTTTTGGATCGAAACCTTGCCTTTTATTTCGAAGCCTGCTTCGTCGGATCGACATTTCAGCCAACGGGCCCAATCCGGTGAGTCTCCCAGTTCGGGGGCAATTCCCCATGTCATGGAAAGCAGTCCGGTTGTGCTGTTGCAAATTACATCTGTGGGAGTGCAGTCTTGTAATTTCGGTCCGCAAATGCACGGGTGTTCCTCCAGAAAGCAGTCAAAAGAGGGCCAGAAATCTGCTGGGTCGCCAAGGCCCATACCCAGGCCGCGCTTACAGACCAAGGTATCTATGGTCGGAATCATGGCGTCTTGTCCTGAACTCCATTCAGACCGCCTCGGCCACAGGATTAGCGCACCACCTGAGAACGTCATCCCCGCCATCACACCGACCGTGAGCCTGGGGTGCCGCTCCACGACTTGCCGAACGGAGCCCAGCGCAAGACGAAGGCTCTCAACCATGCGGTTCGCCGTCACGCGACCTTGAATTAACCAGAATACGGCTGGCTGGACCACTGAAGAGAATCTCTTACGGAACTGACTCAGTAGAGCCTGGTCGTCATCTTCCCTTTCGTCCTCTTGGTGAGTCAACTCCCAGATCTGCTCATTCACCCAATACTCACGCTCCGAAACTCTCGCGCACGCCTCAACCCTGATTACGTCCTCATCCCTTAAATTATCTATCGACATACATTGAACCGCATTATCCGTAGTCACCTCCCTTAGCTGCGAACCATACGACCCAGCTACCTCCTCCGCCAGCTGAGATTGTAGTTTTTGACTCATCTTCCCCCGACTATGACGTATTATCCCGTGACACAGAAATTCTATTAACCGGTCCAGCACCACACTATCAATAGCTTCATTCAGCTCCGACCCCGCCGCAAGTTGCAGCTTGTCGGGATCCCCAAAGAGATTGAAGGCAGGATCATTTACTCCGCTCTTCTTTGAAGCGACTATCAATTCAATCACCTGTTCTTTCTCGGCCAACCTTTCTGGCACCTTTACTTCCACACGATAAAAGCTGCATCCATCCATGGTAGATAAACGACCGTGTCGGTCAAAGAACGCGGCAAGCGCCACCTTCAACCCCGCTCTCCCTGACCGTCTTGAAACGTCACCCCTCATCGCACAAATTTTGAAACGCTCCCGGCCCTCTCATTGAGATCCCGCAACACCGTCTTGTGACAGCGTTAGTTCTTGAAACGCTTTCATAAGAACGTCGTATGCATTATCATTCTGGATTGCATGCTCGGTGATACCGCAAGAATCGAACGCTGACGGGACATAAAACATCTTGGGGGTAATTGACGTCACCTCTAGCGCCTTGAGGCATGCACGGTCTGGGTCATGCCGGTAAGCTTCGAACCGGCATTGCTTTCGTGGATCCTGAATCGGATTGGATGGAAGGTCAGGAAGCTAGTGGAAGACGCCAGGAAATAAGCGCAGAAACGTGCCAGCCTGTCAGTTTACTACACTTGCGGTTAAATGTGTGATGCTGCACTTGTGTTACAGTGTTGTACCATTGCACATTAAACGCACGTTACAATCGTCATTACACATTTTACGATGGCAAGAAAGATATCGAGAAAAGGTTCAAGGAAGGGATCGCGGAAGCCAGAGAGAGCTCAGTACCAGAAAAATGTACCCGAGCCCGAGACGCTGGTCAAGCATCCTATGGATGAGCTTGACAGCGCTTTTAGCCCTACTCCCACCAACACTGAGGAACACTTGTCACCGCAACCTCTTAAGACCATAAATGAAATCGAGGACACTGACGAGAAATACGACGAGGACAAGACCGTTCACGACCACATCAATGACCACGCAGACGAAGCCGAAGAGAAGATGCAAATGGGTGAAATAAAGGACGATCAAGACGAAGCCGAGGCCGATGTTGATGTTAAAGAAGGCGAAGTGAAAGAGGAAGAGCCGGACGTCAAGGTAGAAGGTGGTAACAGGGAGGAAAAAGAGGAGAAAGAAAACGAAAGAGAAGAAGGCGAGCTAGCGGAAGGTGGTCAAATGCCTGACGATGAAGTAAATGAGGTGCCTGAGGTTAAGGTGCCCGAAGTCAAACTACCCGACGTCGAAAGAGTAAGAGAGGAAGGCGAGGTAGACGAGGATGAACCAGAAGATGGCGAGACAAAGGATGACGATCATCAACTACATGAGGTACAAGTTGCTGAGGTTAATGCACCTGGGATCGACGTGACAGAGGTA